GCAGTCTCATATCAGTAAGTGATGTATATTGCGACCCCCGATAGATTGAGTGACGATGGATGTAGGTACCTCCGGACCGTGTTTTGTGTCATTCCTTGGGTGGAATGATGATTATGACGATGAAACTCGTTTTTTCTTTTTAAGACTACACACTAGTGATAGAACTCAATGCTACGGGACATTTGCGACTGCGGTCGTTAACCCGCCTGCCAAGCATTAAAAAAATCCTCCCCACAATGGCAGATGCCTATGTCCAAGAGTGGGCTTTTACTCACTGTTAATGACGATGATGATGATGATAAAGCTCACATGTTGTCTTTAGGGGTAGCATCGAATTTGTGAACTTCTTTGTTTAATGTCGTTTGCAAGTGTTTATGTAGTGTTGTAATACTCACTTACCATTAGGGGGTAGTGATTTACTTTGTCATTCTAATATAATAACATTATAAAAGAACAGTTAACCTTTAACCTACATGCATTAGAAGTGAAAAAATACGTTAGCCTTTTATGATCATATCGAATGAACTTAATGTATTCGTTACAAACTTCCATTAAGTTTAAATATAGGTAGCTGGTATAGATTAGATATCGATCGCATTTGATACTTTGATTTGAAATCCGTCGTATACTCGTATAATAACGATGAACGTATTACATATAAATTTTATTGCAAGTAACAACAAGTGCAACTTTGTTTTTAAAAATATTATTTAACTTTTTTAACTGGACTTTGGCATATGTATATACTATGGAGCAGATCTGATTATAGACCCAGATGCTGGCGTGTAATATAGCAATGCCTATAAAAGCTTGTCTTGAATAGATTTATATTTATCTAAGTTTATAGTAGATATAATATAACGAATAAATATAAGAAAATATTACGACAAAAACACACAGATTGATTGCTATCATTATTTCAAATATAAATTTGAAAATATACTATTTTATTTTGTTTATTTGTAAAATAACGATATGTTAAGATTAAAAATTTTTTGTCGTTTAGTTGTTTAACGACCAGCTGAAGGACAAACACTTTTTTTTTTTACATTAATAGTAGCGCCGAACATGCGTTGCCATGCCACTTTTTTGTCAGAACTCTTCGCGGACATGCGCACTCTCGCCAAAGTTTTTTCGTAATCTGATGAATGGTATAGGACCGATATTTAAAAGACGAATAAACAAACAAATATTAATGTTACAATTGTAAAAATTATTGTTACTTATTAGCTATTTGTAAAAATTAACTGATAATCAAATACGCTGTATTTTGACGTAGTATCGAAATATATACATTATAAACATTAATTTATCAAATTCAAAATATTTTGATTCAAACTTGTCTTTTAAAAATCACTTTTTGAAGGTCAAAATCTTCACTATTAAAGCAGAATTCATTACCAGCATGCAGGTATAATGTTTACTGAGAGTATAAAGTGATAAAATGTATTAAGCAAAAAAAAAATACAAGGTTACTTGCTTGTTCTTCAAACACAAACACACATTACAATTTCAGGTGAGAGATAAATTGGTTTACCGGCGTCCGAGCCGCGATACGCCCCGCTTTAGGGTTAAACCGATTACTTTAACAAGATATTTTGAAACTCTCGTCTTAATCCGCTTTTTAGTTTTTGAAGCAATCGTGGAGAGAAGTTATCATTAGAGTTTTTTTAAAAGCTTCATAGCTAGTGTCACGATATAGGTTTTGCGTTCATAATGTTAATACAGATTTGCAAAAAGTATAATATTTATTTCTGAATCGGTCGTTTCGTGTATGGATGGATTTTTTAAATAAAATACTTCAAAAAATTATGATTCCTTAAGTATTTAAGATGTAAATGTTAATTAAGTGCGCGTGTATGATGTGTCTCACTTAGTTTCAAGAACGCCAACCCCTCACTGTCAATTGTGTGCACTATCACCGTCGCCACTTATTCCAGCACCACTACACTAGGAAAGACACACCGCCGTCGATAATATGACACGTGTTTCGCCTTTAAACAAGGCGTGGGGGAGACAGAGACTGCGATGCCTGACCGCTCAGTCGTAGTAGTCACAGTAGTTTTAACATCATTAATATAATGAATTTCTGCAAAGTAACGACTGATTCTATTGATTATTATTATTACAAGTAACAAAGGCATACCCGCCCATAAAATATTTACCAATAAAAATAACGCTGGAGCGATGGGTTGTTCTCGTATATTCGCTTGATTTGCTTTTCAGATGCAATGAAGAATAAAAAATGTCGAAGCGAAATGCTACAAATATAATATTCTACTCACCATTTTAATAATTAACGTTAAACATAAAATTTAACTACTTTCATCTTTCATATTTTCTTACTTCACGTATATATTTTCTCGAATGAGTGTGTTAAGTCCCAAAATATCTTTCAATCTCAAGGAGCATAACTCGACGCGACGCTTGAAAACACCTGACGTTATCCTAGGTACATTTTAAATCATTTTAAAATCTTGAGTTCTGTCGATGACGGCCAAACTTACGCCAACAATGGCCGCTAAACATTCCCTGATTGCTAATGAGGACATTGTGGAACATTGGAATTAAACGAAACGGAATAAGGAAATTGCATTTAAGTGGCGGAACCGGCTGACAAGAAGTGTTCATAGAGTAGAAAAATTCTTTTCTTTTTTTTTCACACACCGATGTTTCTATATACGAATTCTATAAACGAATGTATTGAACCATAATTCTATGATTGAAACAAAATGTGTCAAACGTTTTAGTTTATCTTTTACGTTTCGACGATCACTAAAAGGTCAAATAGATTTTATTACAACGTAAAATACAACACATAGTGTCTGTAGTAGATGTAAAAATAGTGGTCTCAGCTGGAGTTGGAATACGGACAATCGATACACGAATGGAAATAGCAACAAATCTCAATCACTATTATAGCTTTAAATAGAAGCTTGAACGTAAAATAAGTGAAGCAACCTTCTAAATCTAAATCAAAATAAAATGGCTAACGTAGGAGCTAGCAACTTTTCTAATGGTACGTGCAACCAAATTCAAGACAAGAGGGCTACAGATGCCCTGTGAGGACTTTGATAGAATGCCTTACAGTCTGCATTTATTCCAGCTGTCCCTACCCGGGCTCACACTAGAATACAGCACTACGCGCTGCTGTGTTCCGATAAAACAAAATTTGTTTTTGAATTTAATAAAATTTAAGTAATTTATTAGTATAGAATATATAGCCAAAGTAACCCTGAAGTGGGCATAGAACTGCATTTAATTAATTCATATTAATTCTTCTAGAATTATTCTTATCTCTCTGTATCAAAATACATATTATGTGTTGTAACCCTTGAACACTGAGATGGAATTTTTTGCCATTAGCAGCTAAAAGGATCTCTGGTTCTCTGCACTCACCGTATGAAACACATTACACAGCACCATGCTGCTATTTTACACTGGTATACTGTGAGAGCGTATACCTTCCCGACCCATTTGTGTTATACAAATACAAATGCAGCGTGGCTCTACTTCTTAAAATATGAATGTAACAATTCATATTAATATTAATATAAAAAACTAATATAAAAATACGGTTGAGCGTACAGTCCATCCCTGGAACTTTCCTCCAATTTCAAATGCAAAGCGCTCCAAATTCCACCTACTATGACGCTTTTGAGCTCAAAAACGTAATTTATAACATCAAAAACGATGCAAGAAGAAATTTTTTGTAATAAATATACATTTTTCGAAATTTTTCATTAACGATTTCTCTTCAAAAGTTATAAGAGGGTTACATACATCCACACACACACACACACACACACACACACACACACACACACACACACACACACAAACATACCGATATATTGACATCGTAGGTATAGTCAGTCAGCCCGATTTTTTGAAAATCATTGATTTTTATAGCGGGAAGTTAAAAACTTAACATCAGATTCAGTCCAACATTCAACGTAAACGGAATGGCGGGAGGAGTAAATCTTATTCTAATAACGGGGGTACGTAAATGTTGACAACTGTTTGCTAAGACGCTGTACCTACGAGTACATTATGTATTTATGATTATATTTATCATGTTCATACGTAGATACATCTCCTGAAACGTAGCCAGTAAATTAAAATAGTTGGATTAAATTAATTACGTATGTAAAGGTATTTGCTGAAACACGAGTATAATTACTAAGTTCAATATTCATCATTTGAAATTCATCAGCGTGAACCAGTTAATATTATTTAAATATTTAGGTAGATTGAACTGGCAACTCTTTCTTAAATTTTTTTTAAATCTAAATAGTTTTATCGATTAACTGAGTTATACTCTTGAAAGTTAGATTTTTAGAAGGATTCCTTAATGTTATGAGAAGAGCTAAATCTAATAAATACTTACTTCGAGTGTGTAATTAGAGTGGAACTAAATTTAAGTGTATTCAAAAGAGAGTAAACAAAAAAATCAATTTGGTTTAGCACTTTGTAACACAGGGAAAGAAAAGTAAAAACATTACTAAGCAAGCAATCAGAGTTTAAAAATAAATAAATTTACAATGAGTGAGTTATTGGACGCTAGCAGCTTTTCCTTGATTTCTACATCGATAAAATGTCCAGGTTTAAAAGCACTTGAACGTTAGAGGGAAATGAAAATTAATGGCAAAACATTTTCAATCGCGACCTAGCAACCCCGACAGATATTGCCCGGGCCGTTAATTAAATTGGTCTATTCGCATCACAACAATGCCCTACCTGTAATGCGTATACTATATAAATACACATATGACTGACAAACCGCTGATAACAATCCGCCCAGTAAAAAGGAATTTATTTACAAGCTTAACGAATTTATTGTCCTTTTTCCTAACATACCCAAACAGGTGTTTTAAAGCAGATTCGCAATGCTTGTAATCTTTAATTTAAGGAACGGTTTTGATATAAATTATGGTGTGCGTATATTTATTAAATAATGTGCGAAAAATGCCAACATTACAAAAGTTGTTTTGTTTCAGAGTAAAGAACTGGGCTTTAAAATTCGGTGTGGACTTGTGGGAGTTCGGTCGCCACTTCACAAAAATGAATCAGATACAAAACGTAAGTAATTATCTTAATAACATAAGAATTACAATAAGTTAGTAGCATACTTAGTTTTCAGCAAGTGGAAGGATTGTCGGACGATTTGGTATAAAAACGCACAGAGAGAGGGTTGGCTGCTCCAGGCTCCCTTTCCTCCCTCCGTGACCTAATTCTCTGTGGGCGCGAGAGTAGCCACCTCCCCGCTCCGGATGTAATGTACGCGCCGCGTGACACACTCGCCGTCGCGTCGTCTTGCACCCTCACCAATACAATAATTAACAGCGCCCCCTTTTGCGGTTGTCGTATGCATGTATTGATAAATTGAAGATTTGGTTAATAAGGAAAATAATTTATTATTACAGTATTTATACTAATACGGGTATGCATGAAGGATAACATTAGGAGAGTTTCCATTAATATTTTACGAATGAAATCAGAATGATTGCGAAATATTGTTATATTATTTCACAGTTACAACCAAAAATATGTAGCAGTTTGGTACTTTACGTATCATTCAATAACAGTCACCACATATTTTTTGTACATGAGGGATTAACAAGTGAAATTCCTTTTTTGAATTATTTTTATCAGACAATTAATTTCGAAAAAAATTTGCCATAAACACGTTTGGCAAGCGGGTTGGCAAGTTTTATTTTTATTTTTAGTCGTTATTAGGGAGACGCTGCTGGCCGTCTCCTGATTTGTTTCCCTCTGCTGCCTCTTACGAGACCCATGGGATGATATGGGTTAGTGGATATTCTTACACCGCCACTACACGGTAATAAAACAATTTTCAATATCTTGCAAAATAGTTTTTTTTTTTAATATTTATAAAGAATGCTTTTTGCTCTGTTTATCCTGACAAGGTTAGTAAAAGTTATTAAAAGGATACAATGTAACATAGAAATATTGATCTACATTCTACACTATTTCTCGTTTAATTGTTTAAATACTTTCAAACCTGGCAAAATAAAATGCTGAGTAAATATTATAGTTATGCTTTGATTTTCGACATTGACTGGTACACGGGCGCCATCACTGAATAATAGTGTTTAACGTACTGCTTTCATTTTATACCAAAACCGTAGTAGTCAGCCAGCAGTATAAACGTATGCATTTTCTAAGGCTCTGCAATTGTTGACCTTTGGTTTCATGTGTCCAGCCATTTCAAATCGCCTTTCGCAACCGTGCTCTCTACTCTAGGATACCTTTCCATCAACCGTTTTTATTTTGTCGCTTTCAGCCCATTACAATTTAAGATTTCAGAAATACAAATGTCAGCAATGTCCATGACCGGTGCTCTAGCGTAAACTGCAGTGTGATGCAATCTCTTTATATAATGCAATCCCAATCTTTAATGTGTTTTGCGTTTTAATATATAGAACTTTAATAATTTTTAACCGACTTCAAAAAAAGAGGAGATTCTTAATTCGACTCATGCAGTTTTTAGTTTAACTATTTGGATTACATTCTGGTTACATTGAGCTTGTGACAATCCTTTGTTCTTCCTGTGATAATCTCTAAACCATTCATATATACATACACTACAAGACATTAACCATTTCTGGTGTAGAAAATTATTGAGTATCATAAAAATTCTAATAATTATTATTACCACACTATTTAAAAATTACAAAATATAATCTTATCAACATAATAACATATAACAATTACAATATAATTATCTTAAGAAGCAATCAATTTGATGAAATATAGAAATCCTGCATATTTCACCAGGACTTCACTCCATATAGTGGGAGGTCGCCAGTTCGCTTATAGGTACGAGGTTGCCACTCGAGAACCTTTCTTCCACATCAATAGTCGGTTCTTCAAGCTATTGCCACTTCAGCTTACTAATTCGTTGGGTTATGTTAGTTTCTCTTGTGCGGTTATTCTCATTTCCAAGTCTATCACGCAGAGAAACTCCGAGCATAGCCCTCTCCATAGCTCGCTTAGTGACTTTGAGCTTCCTTTATTTATTTTATTCCATACGGCGAACAGTAAAGGACCACGTGTATAATCTTGCTTTTAAGTTTTGGGTTATATCTGACAACATATCAATAAAAAAAATTGTGCGTGTTAGCTCCGAAGCGTGACTAGAGTTTACTTATGAAAAAAGATATTTTAGATCTCTAAACATCTTAATATATATAATAGGAAAAAAAGTAGATGAACCCATACATTTTTTATAGGATAAGGTGACAAACGAGCACACAGCCATACAACCATATGGTAAGTGGTTGTTGTGACCCATAGACATTTACATTTATCCTCAATAAGGAATCAAAATGCAGATGCGTCGTCACCCGTGAGGACTAAGATGGAATGCCTCTTTTCCAGTAAAGCGGGTCTCCGGTTATCTACACTCACCATACGAAACACAGCAGTATCAAGCTGACATTTTACGCTGGTATTCTGTGAGAGCGTGGTTCATCCCCGTTCGAGCCGACAAATTCGTGCTACAACTATACTACTAATATAGATGAAGCATGGCTCTACCACGTTAGAAATATTTTACGTCTGGCGTAAACGATATTGTGAAACCATACGTTATTATCTAACGGAAGTCATACGAAATTTACCCATGTGGTGGCGGCGTAAGATAATCCTTTACCCAGTTTTGTTTCGAAATGCTAAAAAGATGTTATATAGTCTAGGTGAGTGTATTATTCAAGCGTAGTTAGTATAATTGGTTAATTTGCGCGTAAAATTTTTTCGTATTTTATTTAGCGATATTTTAACTCAATATTTTTAGACAACTTCATACTGCTGTAAATTTTTATAGATTTACTTTATCTATAACAGATTTTTATAACACATAATTGGATATACTGGGTGGCGATTAGGTTATCACATTAAATAACACAGCGGTAAATACAAGTTCATATATTATGTCCGTTAAAATAATAAAATAAAGTTATTCTACCAATATACCAATATAGCATGGCCCAATCACGTATAAATTATAATATAATTATATTGATTTGCTAAATTAAAATATTACAAAAAATATATGACTTAATATAGTACATTATTGATTTCGCGCTACGAGATGTGCTAGTATGTATGTGTAGTAGTATGCGCAGAGGAAACCATAACTGCTTCAATTTTTGTTAACCCTTGATTTTACTACCTCCAATATGTACGTCGGAATTATAAAATTTGAATAACATCTACATTAATATTTTTTATAGTAAACTGTTGCGATCCGCCCCGCCTACTCGCAGGTGATTTCTGCATTTCGACAATAATGCCACGTACCGGGTTCAATTATGATTCTAAGCCATCTAGGGACCTATTCAAACACACACAAAATTTCATCAATATTCAGAGCCATTTTTGAATTTTAGAGAGACTGATTATATAGATATCAAAGATTCAAAGGTTTTTTTTGTTCCAATTACTATAGCTTTATTTACTACCCATTTTTTTAAATTTTTTCACCTGGTATTGCGGTAACTTTTATGCACATTGCATAGAAAAAGTTAGCTGTTTTCGGTATCATCAGGGTATTTTTTTACAAAGTTGCATTTGCTAATGAATGCAATAAGTACTACTCCATCGTTTAACATTTAAAAAAAATTCGTTTTCGTTGCGTAAAAAAAATTCATAACTCATAATAAGGAAGTTTCCATAAACCGCCTCCAAGGTTTAACCACATTCGTTATTTTAATTAATGTAGGTAAGATGGCGGCAAAGCGTGAAATCTTACAGTTCTGTTCGTAGCGAGATTAGCAGGCGCAAATTAAGTGATGTAAAAATAGAACAATAAAAAAAGTAATTGTTTCTGCTTTTAAGAAATTGCATCTTTTGTCTAAATTATTTTTTATAAAACTGTAATAAATAATTATTTCTATGGTTTGACTGTAACAAGGAAAAACCTATTAGGTTTAGTATCTTCCTGTATTTAGTGTTTCAAATCCGTCGCTACTCGTTTATTTTAGTCGATTTATTTATTAATTCCTCTGACGGCACATCCTTTGATATGCCCTTAAGAATAAACATTGACTTGAATCTGCGATCTGACAGCTCTTGCCTCTAGCTTATTTTGTAGCCGTGCCAGTGTGTCGTCCCTTTGAGCCTCGGTGGCAAACTCGAACCTCAATTTATTTTTCGACACGGATAGCGCTGTCACGACACGACAAGTTGGAGTCCGTGTATGATATATTCTTCCTGAAGGCTTCTACTGCCTCTTGTTTGGTTTGAACTTCGGTTGCCAGAGGAAATATGATTGCTGGCTTTATATGAAGAAATGGAGTGAGCGGCGCCATCCTACGATCACTGTTTCCGCAATTAGTGGCTGCGGCCTGAGCATAAGAGGCAGACCGCGCTTGCTGTTGGTGCTGCCTTTAAATTTGGCCATCTCGCTTATCCCACATACCACAATGTCCGCCTTCAAATCGTAGTAAATGTTGTTGGTGACTTCGTTTGCGGTAGTAGGAGGCATACTGGCCAGCTTATGCCCACATCGCCTTATTTCTTCTGCAACCAAGTTAATAAGCTACTGTTAGCTGCGGTGACAGACATGCCATCGGTCACCACCTGCATAATGCATTCTGTGAGCTTGTTAATCGACGTAAGGAATGATTCTAAGTTCGTTTTGTCTTCGACCCGAGCTGGTAATAGTAATAGTAGTTTTTAAGGTACACGTGACCAGAACAATTCACGTAATCTCCTAAACACTGCCCGACCAATGATGGTTGCCCTCCCGATGATAGAACAAGTTGGGGGATTCGAAAATCACCGTGTTTTCCATTTTATCTGTTCTTTCAATATTTTATGCTACTCAATCCAACTTGTATATCTCTTCTTCCAGCTCCAAGATCTTTTAGTCAGCTCTCAGGGTGCATGGAATAAATTTTTCCAGTTCTGGTTATCAAAGTATCTCCACACAATTCAGGCAGGAGGTTGCTACTACCCATCTCCGTACTTGGTTCCCTCTGTCTCATTTACACAATACGTATAGGATAATATGTGAATTATCTTACGCTGCCACTATACATGGCGTTTATTTTTAA